AATCGGGATGCGCCTACCAATTCCGAAGCCACGTGTCCACACAACGCGTCGGATAGGCCACCGCGGGGTCGTCCTCAGGGGCTCGTAAGTCGTTCAGGGTGGTGAGGCAGCGGCCTTGGGTAGCCGCCGTCAGCGTCCTGCCCATCCGTCTCATGCTCTCGAGAAGCTGCTGACCGAACATGCCGTGGACTAGGAACCGTACGAGCCCGCTGGTTGTCCTCCGCAACGTTCCAGCCTACTCATGAGGCCGTACTTCTTTGAGGCGTGACAGGAACGTTTGGTTTTGTCGTTTGCGTTCCCATGTTTCGCATGCCGTTGGGTCCTGGTGGCCCTGCTGGGCCTCCCACACGAAAAACACACACCCAACTAGGGTGCGTGTCTCACTGCTTTGATCGGAAATCCCTGGATTCGGGCGGCCCTGGCAATCTCGATACCATCCTTATGGCTAGAACACATCACCACTGCTTTCTTTGCTAATATAAGTCGGTATAGTCGCAGTTCTTTGCCCGTCTTGACCACGGATAGTCACATCGCGCTTTACAGCTCGTGCCGATCCAATAGTTTTTTGAGATATGTCATCAATCCAAGCTTTGTGCGACACGTATGGCGTGGCTGCCACCACCGTTTTCATAACAACATGGGCAAGTATTTTGGCGAAGCGTGTGCCTGATCTTAGGCCTTGTCTTGCACTAGTGCACGGTTCGAATGGGCTTGCCACGGCCCCCTCTTGAGTTAAAGTCCTCACCGCCACGCATTGTAGACGTTCCAGGTATAGGATCACAGGCGGGAAGTTCCGCTTGAGGGCCGTCTGGACCAGCGGCAGCCATGGAATAGTATCGTTGAACTCTTGCACATCCAACAAACCCATGACCGAACTCCATCTTCATACTGTGGGCCAGCTCCTCATCGATGGCCCGCAAGTGCGCCTCTTGCAGGCGCGAGTTACCTGGCACAGCAGCGTCCCAAGCCTGGGCCTCCTCCACCGACCACTGGCGCACGAGCGGCTCGCGCACCAGCGACCAGAGGCGCACCGGCATGGAGACCAGGGCGATGGCCCGATCCCCGCTGGACTTCTTGGGCGCGAGGTGGCCCACGACAAGGAGCGTCTGGGTCGGCCGTGCTAGGAGCCGCTCCGCGCTGCCCAGCAACAAAACCAGCTCCGCGACCGCCGCTGGTGGTAGCCGCTGGTCGTCGACTGGGGACATGACGTCCACGCCCAATGCAGCCTTGGCTGTCATCTTGCTTGCGCTCTGATGAATTTGATCGATGCTTATATCTGGCAATGTCTTCCACTCAGCTTCGTCGCGAATGAACCTGGATATTTCCCGCGCTTCGCCCAGGTCTGGTGGCCTCGGCGCCCGCAACTTTTTGAATGACTGAGCTTTTTGATCCATGATCTGAGCCGGGTGGGCCAAGGTCTTGCCATCGACTTCCAACTCCAAAGGTGGTGTTTCTTTCATCTTACGACTTGTATGCAAAATGCCCGCTGCTTCCTTGCTGTCCGTCCATTCTTTGAACTCAGAAAGAGATTCCTTGACCGCGATCCGTTGGGCTCTGCTTGGCATCCTTCTGGCACCGCCGAGAAGGGAGCCCCAAACTGGTACCGCCACCGCCTCAGGGGCCCTCGAAACTTGAGGCCACGTCTCCCAGGGCGCGTCACGGACTGAATTGAGGATATGCTGAGTGTTTGCGGGGCGTGTAGCCGACAAATGCTGACATGCTTTGGCGAGCTCGTCCAGTTGTCGCCGGCCGTTGCCCCGTCGTCGGTGCTTGCTGACGCTGCCCAAGACGCTATGCAATCGCGTCCACCACTGGCTTCGTTGGTCCCTCAGGGCAAGTTCACGGCAGTGAGCTGTCTCCCTGAGAGGTTTGATCACAAACTTGGGCCCCGCGCTGCGCGACGGCCCAGGAGTGGCCTGGAAGTCATGATGAACATGGATGGCCTTCTCTGCCGAACTGTTCGCCCATGCAGCCTACGTGCCAGAGAGTGGTGCTCGAGCGCGGTTCGAGCAAAACGGCTACGGAGGAGGAGAGATGGGGGGAGGTGCTGGCCACAACTTCGGTGCCCGACCTGAATCCAGCCTGTCGCCGACTTTCAATCCAAGTCTCATCTGGGATCTCAAACGTGGACTCGGGCGAATTTACATTGGCCGAATTTCGGTGGGTCATCTGCCTTGCGTTATGCTGCTCTACTGGGGGTACTTGAAACGGGGGGGGGGCTGGGCCTCGCACGCCCTGGGCAGCGCGGGCTTGGAATCTTCCTTTTCCTGTTCGCGCTCCTACCTGATCGAGAGCACCGACAGACGAAAGGCCAACCGTCGCCTTGGAGAGTTGGCCGTCCCTACAAAAATTTTGCTCGTTGGCCCAGGGGTCCTCCTCCTCGGGGCGAAACAAAACTATCAGGGCCAGGGTCCTCGCAGGGCTCCGATGGGCCCCCCATCCCTCCTGGAGCCTGCGAGCCCTTGTCCCCCGAAAAGCAGTCACCGAATTGTTTTTCAAAAGCCTCGGAACGTTTCCGATGCGTTTTCTCTCTGGCCAGTGCCCCCCTAGTCCTGGCCTGGCTGGACTCGGGCCCAAGGGCGGGTTCGACCCGCGGTCTGGGCTCCTGGGGCAACCTGCTAGGAACGTCGAGCACACGCGTCTGAAGTTCCTGGCTAGGGCTACACGGGGTGAGCATGAGACCTATGTGCGGGGCGCCATGCTGCATTACGAACGGGAATCAGGTCTTCTACACATGGTACGGCAGAGGGGCTCATCAGCACGTAGTTTAGCATAGTGTCGGGGCCCGCTTTATGCGTTCATGTGCCTTCTACCGCTGGTGCCTTGATAACACCCTGCACTTGGCGAAAGAAACTGGCTTTGGAGAGACTATCTGGAGACATGTTGAAGTCGCCTATCGCCACCCATGGCACGCGCATTGCTTGCAACATGCCCCCCAATCTGCGAAACTTGGCACGATTGCGCCCTGTCATGGCAATACTCGGATATGCGTGCAGCAACGCGATGACCAGCAAGTGCCCCTGCGGCTGGAGGACCAGCGGACAGATGCCAACCAGGGACGACTGGTTGGCCGCCCTCAGGTGCTTGGCTGCAGCCCGCGCCGCCTCCAACTTGTAGCACTGCAGGTGGCGCTTGCTCAAGAACATCTCCCCGCCTTCGCTGGCCCTCGCCTCCTTGGACAGGAGCGCCGATTTGTCCGAGCGCCGCGCGGCATTGGACGTGAGCTTCAGGTGGAGCTTCCTAGCTTTGCGATCCCACTCCTTCGTCTCTGACTCCTTGTGCGCGTGAGTCTATACGGAGGCCCAATGGTCAAACTCTTTTGGTCTGGCCGCCAAGTATTTCCATGCTTTGTCCGTCAGGCTGGTGATGTTGGAGTAGAAGATGCGGGTGACCGCTGCAGCTCCACCGCCACCTCCTGGCGCCTCCTCGGTCAGGGTCCGAGGGGTCCCCGTTCCTGGCTGTCATTGGCCCGCGCCGCCTGGCGTCGAGCTGGGCGCTGCTACGCCCTTGCCCGTCGCCTTGGCGGCCTGGCCTTGACCTGGAAGCGAGCTTCGGAGAAGCGCTTGGCTTCTGCTGCGATGCCTGCCTCCCTCGTGCTCGCCTCGTCGGCCGCCTGCGCCGCCTCGTGCTCCTGCCCCTTGTCGCCGTCGGAAGCCGCCGTCGCCCCATCTCCAGCCTGGCCCTCGCCGCCCGTCCGGGCGTCCTGAGCCGAGCCGTCGTTGGACTTCCGCTTCTTCAGCATGCGGGCGTTGATCGTGGCCTTGTATTCGTCGGCCTGCTTGAGCCACTCCTTTCTCTCCTTCTCCCTCGCGCCGAACGTGTCCTTGACTCCCTTCAACTACTCCTGGATCTTGTCAAGCGCTGCGCGCTCGTCCGTCCTTGGAGCACTCCAGATTGTCCAGCCCCGCGAAGAAGGACTCGTCCCACTCGATGGTGAACAGCCTCTCGGGCTTGGCCTCGTGGCCCAGGTCCTGCGAAGCCTCGGCCTTGGCCAGCGCCGCCATTGCCGTCCGTTTCGCCGCCAGCGCTCCCGCCAGCGCGATGGCGGCCTTGGTCTCCTTCGCCTCCGCCGCGGCCAGGTTGCCGCGGAGGCGCAGGACGCTCGCCGCCGCCTGCTCGTGCATGTGCTCCGCATTCTTCACGGCGCCCTCGCACCTCCTGAGCGCCTCCACGCGCGTCTCCTTGGACGTCGGGCCCACAGCTTGCGCCGCCAGCTGCTGCAGCTGGCCGTTGAGCACCGTCTTGAGCCCCGCGTCCACCGCCTGCTGCAGGAGGCGGCGCACGTCGCTTGCCTCCTTGCCGCCCTTGCCCGAGCCCGCGGCGCTGCGTCCTCCTGGGGACGCGCTGCGCGAGCGGCCCTCAGGGCGTAGGATGCCCACGAGTCCTACGGGCAGAGGCTGCATGAGGCCCTCCTCGTCACTCCAGGCTTCGTAAACGTCGTTACCTGCCTGCTCGTCCTCGAAATGAGTTTTTTTTACTACCTTGAGTCCCTAGTCCAAACAACTCCACCTCGCTGCCGCAGCCACTGCAGATATTGCCACACATCGTAAGTTTGCGATTCCATTCGCACCGCTTTCAGCTGCTGCAACGAGACCAAAGGGGTGCCATCATCTGTGTTAGTCAGCGCTGTACCATGCTGGCTCACGGTGGGGTGCAGTCCCTCAAGTGCCGCTCGGAAGCCCAGAGGAAGGGCGCACGGGGAGTGCTCGAGCCCAAGTTGCTTGAGATGCGGAGGAGGAGGAGGAGGAGGAGGCAGAGGAGAAGGAGGAGGCAGAATTAGAGGGGGAGGATGAGGAGGAGGAGGAGGAGGAGGAGACGGAGGAGGAGGAGGAAGAAGAGAAGCAGAAGGAGGAAGAGGAGGAGGCGGAGGAGGAGGAGGATGAGGCCGAGGAGGAGGAGGAGGAGGGAGGGAGGAGGAGGAGGAGGAGGAGAGGGTGGAGGAGGAGTAGGAGAAGGAGGAGGAGGAGGAGCAGGAGCAGGAGGTGGAGGAGGAAGAGGAGGATGCGGCGGACGAGGACGAGGAGATGGAGGAGGAGGATGAGGAGGAAGAAGAGAAGCAAAAGGAGGAAGAGGAGGCGGAGGAGGAGGATGAGGAGGAGGCGGAGGAGGATGAGGATGAGGCCCCCCCTCCTCGGCAGAACTGTTTGCGGACCCAAATCCCTCCTCGGCAGGCGGCTCGGGAAGGGCTGGCCTCCGGGCTACGAGCCGCTGCAGCGCGAGACCGGAGCGGGGGCGTAGCACATTCGCTTGCCACCGTTCGCTCCCGGCGTGCGCGCGTCGGCTGGTCTTGGCACGCGGCAGGGGGAGGCGGTGCCGACGACGACGACGACGACGACGACGACGACGACGACGACGACGACGACGACGACGACGACGGGGGGAGGAGGATGATGAGAAGGAGGAGGAGGAGGAGGAGGAGAACGGATGAGTAAGAGGAGCAGGAGGAGGACCATTGTAAACCCCAGACGCATCAACGATGATTCCACAAACCCACCCTCCAACTTGTCTCTCCATAGGTCCCTACAACGCTTTTATATTTTTACTGCGGGAAGTGGCCAATTATAATTTAACCGTCTGAGAGTCCTCAATTGATCCAAAGCGCCATTCCTTGGACGTCAGGCCGCGGATCAACGTGCACGCTGCGTCCTGACAGTCCTAAATTGTGCCAGGACGCCACTCCTGGGACTTCAACACTGCAAATCAACGTGATTGTTGCGTCCTGACAATCCTAAGTCGTGCCAAGACGCCGTTCCTGGGACTTCATTCGTACGAACTCTTGAAACGGTTGCAATGTTTGAAATCGAATGTGCGCGGCGCGAAGGCGAGAGCCACATTTTGAACATGAATCGCCCTCCACCAGTAAAACGACTGTACCATTTTTAGGCGCATGTGCTTGGCGTTGAAGCGAAACACTTATTTTGATGTTTTACCTGCCCTGCATCGTGAAGCTGCGGCAAACTCGAATATGCGCGGCGCGAAGGCGAGAGCTACATGTTGGGAAGGACCCGCCCTCAATCCGTGAAGCCGTTGTAAACTTTTCAAACGAATGTGCGCGGCGCTACGGCCAGAACCAGATGTTGGAAAAATCCAGCCCTCGATCCATCAAACTGTTGCAGAAGACGAATGCGCGCGGGGCTAAGGCGATACCTGCATTTGAAAACGACCTGCCCTCCATTCGTGTGGTTGTTGCAGAATTAAGGATTCAGGATCAGAATATGATTAATATGGCTCAGGCGTAACGTCCGGCCCATCCTACCGACACGTCTGGGGGTGCGATTGGGAGGAGTTATATGTTGCAGGAAACAGTGGGGGGGAAAGGAACAGCTGATGATGATGCTTACGATGCTGATGATAATGCTGATGATGACGATACTGATGAGGAGGATGGTCATGATGATGATGCTGATAATGATTCTACAGGCTTACGCCACTTTCGCCGACCCCTTCTGTGACTGTTGCGAGGCCAGGAGTTTCTGGCCAGCGGCGTCTTGTGTGAGGGTGCGGTGTCGCGCGCGGGTGGTGGCAGATACGTAGGGGGTCCACATGTTTGCGTGATGCCGGTGGTCTGGGGCGTGTTTTGCGAGCGCTTTGCGTGCTGTGCACCCGGGTGCGGGGTGTCCTTCTGGGAGGTCGGCCTCTCGCCCCTCAACCAAGTGGAGGAGCACCGGAAGACGAAAGGAGCAAGAGTAGCGTGCGGAAGCTGTGATCAGCGAAGCATCACCGCGAAAGATGTGGCAGATGAGTCGAAACGGGTGAAGAGGCTGTTGACGTTCGCAGCGCGCACGAAACAGTTCGCGTAGCAGCAGCACGTCGCGTAGCACAGCGCCGAGCAAGATTGTGAGCACGTCGCGAGGAAGAGCAAGGCTGCATGCGCGGAGTGCATTGCAGTTGGCTTGACGGCTCGCAATGCGGAAGCGTCTGGTGGTCTTTTGGAGGCCTCCTGGGGGCCTCTTGGGGGCTCCTTGGGGCGTCTTGGCGGCCTCTTGGGGGCCTCTGGCGGCCTCTTGGGGCACTCTTGGGGCCCCCTGGGGCTCGTGGGGGCGGGAAGCTAGATTTTTGAATTTTTGGTTGCCCTCTTGGGCCCCTCTTGGTGCCGTCTTGTCGGAAATGCGCGGAAGAACGTCAGAGGACGACGCTTGAGTCCAATAATAGGAAACGGAGAGCCGAGGCGGAAGCGAAGCCGCTGACGTGCGCGGCGTGCGGAGGAGCGTTCTCAGACACGAAACATTTGAGGCAGAGCCAAAAAGAACATCATCGATGGTCGAATCAAAAAAAGGTGGTGTGCGGAAGCTGCGCGGCACTCGGGTTCACAGCCCGCAGTTGCCAGGCGTATCAGTGCAGCGGCGCGTGCAAGAGAAGACTACCGAAGTCGGCGTTCCCCGACCCTCACAATGTCCCGCGCGACGCAAAAAAAGGCACTCTGAAGTGCAAGACCTGCAAATGATGCCGAATCGGGCGCGCGCGCTGAGGAAAAAGGAGAACGAGGACAGGAGAATGGGGGGTGAGGCGGAGGACACAGGGGAGAATCATCGAACGTGTCGAGGTGACGGGCCATGAACAAGAGGAGGGGGACGAGGAGGAGGGGGACGAGGAGAGGGTGGTTGAGGAGGAGGATGAGGGGGACACTGAGAGGAGGCTCTGGGTTATGGTCTTTGGGTGAGAGGTTCTTGTATGTGTATCGGAATTTCGCGGCACTCCTTTCGGGGGCCTCTGGAAAGCAGTTTTGACGCCACTGGGGGGCCGACGTGGACAAGGCGGGTGAGGGGGAGGAGGAGGGGGACGCGGAGGAAATGTTCTGGGTCATGGTTTTGGAATTCTTCGCCTCGGGAGCGCGAATCCCGCTTGTGCGATGATCGCTGGGATCTCTGGTGGTGCTTCTCGCGGGACTCTTGGAGGCAGTTTCGAAGCCTCTTGGGGGCCGTTTTGGGTCCGTTCTGGGGCCTCTTGGGGGGCCTCTTGGGGCCTCTTGGGGGCGTCTTGGGGGCCTCTTGGGGCCTCTCGGGGCCTTTTAGGGCCGTCTCGGGGCGGAAGGCTCGGGATGTCAGTTCGGGCTCCCTCTCTTGGGCCCCTCTTGGGGCCGTCTTGGGGCTCTCTTGGGCCGTCCTGGGGGCCTCTTGGGCTGTCTTGGCGCCCTCTTGGGCGGACTTGGGCGCGTGTTGGGGGCCTCTTGGGCCGTCTTGGGGCGGTCTTGGGGTGCTCTTGGACCGTGTTCAACGCCGTGAAGGCCGAGAAGCCGTATATGATCAAAATGTACGTTTTCCATAGGAATTTGAAGATTTTCGGCTCTTCGGCCCTTCTGAGAACTGCTCTTGGAGGCCTCATGGGCCGTCTTGGAGGCCTCTTGGCCCGTCTTGGGGCCATCTTGGGCGCCTTGGAGCGTTCGTTTGGCGTCTCGGGGCCCTCGTGGGCCGTCTTGGAGGAGTCTTGGGGCCTTCTTGGGCCGCCTTGAGAGACTTTTGAGCCCAAAGAAGCTCCGTGAGTCGCTCGGGCGGGGCCATGGGGGGGGGGGTCAAATCGCCAGTTTGGGGTCCCTGGGGGGGGACTGTAGGGGGGGGAACTATCTCACACGCCTAGGGACCCACAAGGGGTCGGCGGATTATGTTGATAATGCTGATTATGTTGTTGGTGATGCTGAAGATGCTGATGATGATGGAGATGCGTATGATGATGCTACTAATGCTGCTGATCATGTTGCTGATGATGGGGCTGATGCTGATGATGATTATGATAATGGTGATGATGATAACGACTATGTTGATGGTGCTGATGTCGATGATGATGATGATGATGATGATGATGATGATGATGATGATGATGACGAGGATAATGACGATGCGGCTGAGGATGAGCATGCTCATTATGGTGATGGTGATGGTGATGCTACTGATGATGATGATGATTATGATGATGATGATGATGATGATGCTGATCATGATCATGATTATGATTATGATGATGATGATGATGATGATGATGATGATGATGATGATGATGATGATGATGATGATGATGACGATGATGATGATGATGGCGACGATGATGATGAAACTGATGCTGATGCTGATGATGATGATGGAGCGGTTGCTGATGGTGATCATAGTAACGATGCTGATGATGATGTGGAGGGGGAAGAGGAGGAGGTGGAGGAAGCGGAGGAGGAGGGGAAACAGCAGGCGGGATGGAAGGAGGAGGAGGCGGATAAGGAGGAGGAGGAGGATGATAACTTGGTGGAGGAGGCGGAGGAGCTGGAAACGGAGGTGGAGGTGGAGGTGGAGGTGGAGGCGGAGGAGGACGATTCGCTGGATAATCCATTGTAAAGGCTCGCAGTCAGACAAGGAGGATGAGGAGGATGGGGGAGCTTGTGGGGAAGCAGGAGGAGGATAATGATGCTGATGATGATGAGGAGGAGGAGGAGAAGGAGGAGGAGGAGGAGGTGGAGTTGGAGGAGGAGGAGGAGGAGGAGGAGGGCGGAGTAGGAGGAGGAGAAGGAGGACGAGCAGGAAAGGGAGGAGGAGATGATGAGGTGGACGAACAGGAGGAGGATTTGGAGGAGGAGGCGGAGGAGTTGGAGGGGGAGGAGGAAGAGGAGGAGGTGGAGGTGGAGTTGGAGGTGCAAGAGGAGGGTTGTTTGGACATCCACTTCCGAGGCCCTCAATCAGAAAAAGGTGGAGGAGGAGGATCTGGTGGAGGAGGCGATGGATAAGGAGTAGTGGTAGTAGCAGTTGTTGTAGTAGTAGTAGCATCAGCAGCAGCAGCAGCAGTAGTAGTAGCAGTAGTAGTAGCAGTAGTAGTAGTAGTAGTAGTAGTAGTAGTAGTAGTAGTAGTAGTAGTAGTAGTAGTAGTAGTAGTAGTAGTAGTAGTAGTAGTAGTAGTAGTAGTAGTAGCAGTAGTAGTAGTAGTAGTAGTAGTAGTAGTAGCAGTAGTAGTGGTAGTAGTAGTAGTAGTAGTCGTAGTAGTGGTAGTAGTAGTAGTAGTAGTAGTAGTAGTAGTAGTAGTAGTAGTAGTAGGAGTAGTAGTAGTAGTAGTAGTAGTAGTAGTAGTAGTAGTAGTAGTAGTATAGTAAGTAGTAGTATAGTAAGTAGTAGTATAGTAGTAGTAGTCGTAGTCGTAGTAGTAGTAGTAGTAGTAGTAGTAGTAGTAGTAGTAGTAGTAGTAGTAGTAGTAGTAGTAGTAGTAGTAGTAGTACTAGTAGGAGTAATAATAGTAGTAGTAGTAGTAGTAGTAGTAGTAGTAGTAGT